TGTTGCACATCCACCTGCCCCTCGCAATAAGGATAATGAAGAGGTTGGTCCTAACCAAGGACAAGACCAAGCAGTGGAAGGAGAGGAATGACCTTTAGTCAGACTGGACAATAAGGAACCTTCAACCATTACTCATAGTGGGGGGTTGTGAGACCACTTTCTAGGAACTGGCTCTATGGAGGGTCATATTAGCCCATCTCTATTGAGCAAGAAGAAGATTCAACTTCGTTTAAAGAAGCGATGGAAGATGTAGACCTTGAATCATAGAAATTTGTCATGAACTCGAAGATGGAATTTATGTATATTCCAACAAGGTTTGGGATCTTGTAGATACACCTAATGGGGTCAAACCTATATAGTGCAAATGGGTCTATAAAAGGAAAAGAGGTATAGATGGGAAGGTTGAAACCTTCAAAGCAACACTAATGGCCAAGGGTTTTATCCAAAGAGAATGTATCGACTATAAAGAAACCTTATCACCAATTACCATGCTTAAATCTATTCAAATCATTTTATCCATTATCGTTTATTATGATTATGAGGTTTGACAAATGGACGTTAAGACAACATTTTTAAATGGATATCTTGACAAGATTATATACATGATGCAACCTGAAGGTTCATGAAAGAAGACCATGAAAGGAAAGTTTGCAAGTTACAGAGGTCCATTTATGGACTTAAGCAAGCGTCCAAGTATTGGAATGTAAGATTTGATCAAACCATTAAGACTTATGGTTTTGACCAAAATTTTTCTGATTCTTTATGTGGATGACATTCTACTCATTGAAAATGACGTAGGGCATTGTCGTCTATAAGAAGTGCTTGTCACAGCAGTTTGATATGAAGGACTTGGGAGGACGTAGTGATGTTTTATGAATCCATATTTTACGAGATAGGCAAAATAGAAGGATAGCATTATCTCAAACTTCATATATTGACAAAATATTATCTAGATTCACAATGCAAAATTCCAAGAAGGGACAACTTCCTTTTAGACATGAAATTCATCTATCTAATGAGTATTCTCCCAAGACTCCAATGGAGATAGATTACATGAAGAATGTTCCTTATGCTTCAATTGTAGGAAACCTCATGTATGCTATGCTTTGCACATTATTGGAATTTGTTATGTTGTGGGTATTTTTAGTCGTTATTAGTCTAATCTAGGATCAGAATATTAGATAGTATTGCTAATTTCACCATGAATATGTAGCCGCTTGTGAAGCTACTAAAGAAACTGTATGGTTCAAGAAGTTTCTTTTGGACCTTAACATGGTATCTTTGGTAATGAAATCCATAATACTTTATTGTAATAATAGTGGAGCGGTTGCCAACACTAAAGAAATAAGAAGTCATCAACATGGCAAGCACATTGAGAGGAAATATCACCTTGTTAGAGATATTGTTCATCAATGAGACATAACGGTTAACAAGATTGCATCAACAGATAATCTTGCAAATCCATTTACCAAGGGCTTACCAGCTAAGGTTTTTGATGGGTATTCTTGATATGTCCCCTATACTCTAAAAGGGCAAGTGGGAGAATGTTAGTTTGATGCTTGATGATAGCACATTAATATTTTAATTTTTATGATTATTTGACGTCTAAATGCATTAAGTACTTCTATATCTTGGTTTAGGTTGCAAATTGGTGAAAAGGGTGGAAAATTGAAGCAAAGAGCGAAAATGGACCAAAATGGAATAAAGTGAAAGCTCAGGGACTAAAGTGCAAATACTCTAAACTTGTTTTTAACCTTATGATGAAGATTCGAGAGTGTTAGATGTCAATTGGATGAAGGAAGGAGTCAATAAGATGAAGCATAGCCAAAACATTATCACATATCAACTTTTAAGTTGAAAAGTTTTGCACCGATTTTCAGTCTCATATTGAAACCAGTTTTTAACATGAAAAACGATCTAGTTCGAGAATGATCTTTGAAGAAAAGTTGTAACCCTTTGAGCTATCTTTCCAGTATATCTTGAATCGCCTCAATCGAATATCGGGAGAGGATGTTATGACGAAAATACTGAAAAGAATTCGAAACAGCAACGCTGCGCCCAGGCACAGTACAGACCCAAAAGAATAGATTTTCAGTGCCTAGGCACTGCTCCCATGGCACCTAGGTGCCGCACCGTGCAAACATAGGTTTTTTTTTTTATTTTTGGGTCGTGAGAAGCCTAGAAAAAGACCGCAAAAACATTCCAAAACTCCTCATTCCTCATCATTCTTAATTCTACACCATTCTATCATCACTTTTGGTTCAAGAACTTCATGAAAAACTAATAAACATTGGTGAAGTTACGAAAGAACTCAATTGAAATTGGAGATTTCAACATCTATTACTCATGTAATGTGTTTTTCATTGTTTAAACAATTTTAAGATATATATTTCCTTACTTCGAATTAGTTTTGAGTTTAACTTAACTTTTATTAAGTTTTTCGTAGATTTAATCAAGTTTCTTCCATTGAACAAAAAAAATAAAATAAAATAAATTATTCAAGTAGTATTTTATAAAACAACATTATGAATTAACGTTCAATTACTTGTGTGTTACAATTTGAAATAATTATCTAAGGTTCCATGATCATATAGGATGTCACAAATTGTATACTCTATATAGTGAGACACAATTCATGATGTGGTTAAAATATGTCGTTCACAATCGGTACATAAAGTTGGACGTTTTATGTTGATAAGATTGCATTGTTCTTATTGAGATTTGTCTAAATTTGAGAATGAGAACAATAATGAGTCTTTGATGCACATTGAACATGACTACGTAGATGACTCATTTGAAATCGCTCGGAATGAGCTCTACTCGGCACCTAAGTAATGTACCTTCGATTGTTAGTTCAAATTCTTTGAGGTACCAATGAATGAAGTCTTAATTAGAAGATTGATCTCGGTGCTTTGGAAATCGGGCCGAAACAGTTAGAGATCATATACTTGCGATAGTGGAATCCGTTAATCATCATGATGAGACAATCATCTCTTTAAGGTATTTTCTATAGGCAATTGAACCTGAGTCGGTAGTTCGACGGTGAGATCATTGTGACTCTATGATTTGACGAAGAATTTGCCTTATAAAAATGGAACTTAGAGAGTAATACATGTTGAAGAGCAAAATGGTAATTTTGTCAGTTTCAACATATTGATGGTCAAATGAGAGTTGACTTGTGGAATGATAATCGAAGGATATTGTTATCGGTTCATAATTTGCTTTCATAACTATCACTCGACTCGAGAGTGCAATCCCAATTTTTTTGTAAAATAAGCCAAGATTAATAGATGTATCCTAATTTGTCAATAGTTGACCCAATTAGAAACATCTATTGGAGCTTGAGTTTAGTGAGTCCGGTTAGATCCCTCTCTTAGCTCCAATAAAGGTGTGTGACTTAATTGGTCTACTACAATAAAATCCAAGGAAATTTGTGCAATTATGAAACCCTGATTGAGTAATATATATGCCCTTTATGGGTACATTTATCTAGTTTTAAGGTTAGCCACATCTTCATATTTCCCAAAAAGGAAGGCACCTAAGGAGAATAAGGGAGAAAATATAGGTGTGGAAACACTTGGGTAGGCCGTTAAAAGCTCATTCAAGATTATCATCTCACCTTTATATATGAGGATTTAAGAAAGATTAAATGATCTCAAGGCGATATAAGATCTATTATTCATTTGGATTTAATCCTCAAAGTAAAATTCATTTCCTCTTGTGATAATTAAATCCAATAACCAACATTGATGTGGTGCAGCTTCTTCAGCCATTGTGAGATAGTCAAGCAGCGTCGTAAGTTTGAGTATTGGCTCAAGCTATCAAGCCCAGTGAAGCAGGATTTCTAAGCCTACATGGACTATGAGAAGTAATATAACGCCCTCAACCCTCTCCATAAAAAAGACTTTTCTAAAAATTCCAACAACAAAAAATCGAAAAAATCTATCTTTGATTATGCTGGTGTTTCTAGGATTCTGGAAATTTATTGGCTGGCCACAATCGATTTAAAAGTTATATTGAGCTATGGTACCAATAGTTGGAGTTTTGCCAAGCACTGGCGCGGTAGGATGAAAATTATAATCTTAGGTTACAAATCTACGTTCTTCATACATTTATATGCAAGGATTGCTGTAAGTACTTTTTTATTCATTTTGTTTGGTGGTAGCGAAATTCTTATATCTATAAATTACAAGACATGCACATGGTAGAGGAGATCACACATTAGTTATTGAGTTCATTGCACTTAAAAGGTATATACTTTGAACCCTAACCAAATCCCATATTACTCATCTCTCTTTCACTCCTTCTATTCCGTTCTGATAATTGACTTGATCGTTAGAGTGCAAATGGTCGTTGGAATTTTTTTTTTTTTTGTCGGTGACCTTTGCATTCTATCGATATGCTCCAATGTGCAAGTGATATCTAAGTGGAGTGAGAAGTGGTCAAATTTTTTTGGCCACTTCATCAGACAAATTTTGAGGTCAACGAAAGTTATTCTTGTTATGTTGCCTTTTTTTAATTAGAATTAGATTGATTATTGGAGTTTTATAAAGAGAGAGTAATATGAATGTAAAGTTTGAGTGATGAGTACAGTGAATCAATGTCACATTAGAGCTGTACCTTGCTATGGGGAAATGGGTGTTGTACTTACTCTTCATATGATCTTAAATGGACTTTGCCATTTGTACCACTGAATTTATACTCTTTGGTTGACACTTGCATTATTGTCAACAATGCATTGGATGAAAAAACTATTTAAAATTTAAATTATCCAATTAGGTAATATCACGTGACAAAGTGTATACCAAAATGTAAATGTAACAAGGTTCGATTTCAAATAGATATAAAATATTTTGATGTTATTTTGTGTACGGTTTAGCTCAACTAAAAGGTTTCATGGGTGTCTATGATTTTATCCTTTTATAGGTAGACAGAAATAATGAATCCAAGATTTGAGACCAGATCAAAGCACATTGCTTTATATATAATATGTGAGAAAACTATAGCATCTTTGTGAATGAACCCAAAAATGGGAAAACTGCAATCAATAATCTGAGTAATAAAGGCATTTCACTTTGACTCGACTTCCCCTTCTCTGTAAACATCCCCGTTGATCTAGTTTCTGTTCGAGCCCCCCGTCTTCTTGAAGATCCTTTCGACTCCTCCCCTCTATCTAGCTCATCCCATCCACCAAAACTGTATGAATCTTCACCACTGCTTTTATCCGAGACGTCATTTCTTGGAATCCAAGATTGATATACCGTCCTTTTCTTCATTGTCCCTTGGCTTCCACCCCATTCTTCGTTCAATTTAACAGTCCTTGAAGTGCGAGGCCGTGATCTTCCCTTTCTACTCTTGGTTTTGCGCTTTGCTTTGTTTTTACCTCTATCCCACAACCTTTGGAACGCAAAGGAAAGAGTTGACTGCCCAATAGGGAGCGCTAATGCCATAAGAAAAGCTTTTGAACCCGTTGCCAGAAGCAATGACAAGAGAATAAACGGAAGCATCCAACCAAAGGATCTGAAAACCTGCACTGGCAAAAGGCTTGGCTTTGAAGACACAATCTCAAGACTAATCTGCTTTTGGAAATCGGAAAACCGCCCTCCAAATCATAATATTCAGCATTTTATTTTGGATTTATACTTGTTACCAACTGTAAGTGCACAACATGTAGCAAGCAAACTGTAAGACCCCATCAAAAAACACTTCAAAGATACAAACCTACAAGACTACGAAAATCTGGCGATTTTCAAGATTACCAGTCTTTATCCGAAAAGACTAAAGTTTACTTGATCTTTACAGGTCAAATGTACATTGTCTAGAGTTGCATCACTACATATACACAATCCATGAATATATGATTTTTGATCTAATTTTTCACATCATTATAGATTTTTATTCCAAATAAAGAAACTAAGATGACGCAAAAACCAGAGATTGAGAGACGGTATCCTGTCAACCCCACAATCTCATATTTCATCTAGATATCTGATGAGTGTATTTCACTCATTGAATTAGCATCTTTAAAGCATAGATTTCAGTTTGTTCTTGAGCACTTTTGAGCGTTTTGATGTGTTTGTTCGTGTTGTTTTGTAATTCAAGTAACTTGGTGAAAATGGCATATTTTGGAGCTTGGAATTGAGTTAAATTGTTGATCATGGAAGTGGGCATGGAGTGGAGATGAAAGAGGAAAAAAATAAAGTGGAAAAGAGGCAAGCAAAATAAGGCAATAGCGAAGGAAGCATTGGGCGCCTAGGCACCACATATGGGTGCCTAGGCGCCCAAGAAAAGGTGAAGAAACCAGCAGAATGTTGGGCATGTCGGAAGAAAAGAAGCAGAATGGTTGGTGCTACGACGCCCCAAGGCAACGCCACTTCAAGGGAATTCATAGAGTCAAGAGCGAGAATTGAAGGAGACAAGATTCAAGAAATCAAGGAGGCAAAAGTAACTTGGCAAATTAGATTGATTCAATCATTCAAAAAATAGTTTTATATTTTTTCTCCATAGACTTTATGAATTTTATAGATTTCATGTCTCATATTATGAACTAAATAATTATTCTAGGGTTTGAATAGCCAAAAGTTGAGGATATGATTTAATTTTTTTTTTATTTTTTTTATTTCTATGAAATTTTCCAATTCCATTTATTTGTGTTATTGGTTTAATGCTTTCAATTAATTTGCCACTAGTTGAATGATTACATGCTAATCAACTCCGGCACTTGAGAGAGGGAAATTTAGGCGTGATCACAACAATAATACAACTTAGATTTTAAGGGTTTCGAGAGGGAGTGTAGAATCTATGAAGTTTGATCCATCTAATAACCACAATCTTGATAAATCTTGATTTTAATTCGAAATAGAGATATTTGAATTAATTTTTACCCAGCACTCGAGAGAGGGGATAGAATTACATTAGAGTTCTTGCTTATAAACATAGAAAATTGATTAGAGATAACTCGATTTTTTAGAATCATATTTGATAGTTAGGTGAAATCATAACCCTAAACTTTCTCATCTTGATTATTCTACTAAATTGTATTAATATCGTTGAATTCGTCAACATATTCATCATTAGATTAATTTAAAACCATTGATCTTATAATTTGATTTTCCAGATAAAATAGAAGTTATATAATTATAGTGCCTAGTAATAAAATTAAGCCCGTGTTTGATGGGAATTTTTAGTAGAATTTGATAAAAGTCGATAAATTTATGGTTGAAAAGTGGTGGGTTTCATGAAATATGTGATTAAAATTAATTGTGATTTAGATTTAGAATAAAATCTAGATTTTAATCCCCACAGGCTATATGTCAAGATACAGTTTGAGCAATTTGGTAAAGATCTTATACTTGATAAGTTTCAACTAAATTCCATGAATTACAAACCAAGAAAACAAATATTATAAACATAACCCGATAGAATAGCTCGACAATTGTTCATATTTCCAAAAAAAAAAAAAAAAAAA